AACTCTGCTATTGGTTTTCTTACTATTTGAACGTTGATCTCCTAGCAGTACCCAATAAAAATCTATTACCTACCAGAAAATTGGATTCTGGATTCTTTTCAATCTTTTCAATCTTTCCATCATTCTCATCCGTTTATTCCTCGATCCTTCAATCCTCTACTTCTCTTTTGCACAAAGTACATGTAAATATACAAATTTTCTCCGTTTCTCCATATCATTTCCTCGGAGATTTGAACTTTTAAAATTATTGAATGGAAGTTATCGATGAGATTTGATTTGATTGATTTGATTTGATTGATTTGATTTGATTGTTTAGATTGATTAGATTAGATTGATTAGATTTGATTTGATTGATTGATTTGATTTGATTGATTAGATTTGATCGATTAGATTAGATCGATTAGATTTGATTGATTAGATTGATTAGATTCGATTTGATTGATTAGATTTGATTGATTAGACGACATTGATTAGATTTGATTGATTAGATCCAATCAATTAGATCCAATCGATTAGATTCCATCGACTAGATTCCATCGATTAGATCCAATCGACTAGATTCCATCGACTAGATCCAATCAATTAGATTCCATCGATTAGATTCCATCGACTAGATTCCATCGACTAGATTCCATCGATTAGATCCAATCAATTAGATCCGATCGATTAGCTCAGATTGAAATCGAAAACGAAAGAAAACGAAAGCGAAGACTAATTTCTGTATGCTATCAAGCATTCTTTTGAGAAAAAGAAACGAGAAGTTAGAGAATTGAAATTGGAAAAGAGAATCTTCTTTTTAGAAAACTAATCTAAAATATGAAAACTATAGTATATTCTGGAGGCAGGAACTGGGCCAAAAGAAGGCCTTCTTTCCGCATTGTGGGTGGGCCAGTCTATTCATTCAAATATTTGCGACCAAAGGTTTCTTTTCTACATTCGGAATGGTTCCCCTAGGAAAGGAAAGGATCGGGTACCCATGGATGAAAAGAATTCAATTCCTTCAAAAACCTCAAAAGACCTAGGCCACCCCGGGTTGAAATGTGTGAGAAAACGCAACACTCGGACAGTTTAAGGGTTTTTCTTTCGACACAATGGGAATACGGTGTGGCTATTTTCAGGGAATTCTCTCTTTCAACACTTTCCTGAGTGTTGCGACTTGTCGACTTGTGTCTTCTTTTTTACAGAAATTCTTTGTTTCATCTTTCTTCTGTTTTCCTGGTCTGTCTTTTGGCCTTTTTGCTTTGAAAACACTTCTTTTTACTCTTCTTACTTCTTACTAATTGTTTATCGTAAAACTTTGTCATATTTTTCGAGATCGATCTTCTTAACTACAGGATTACAACAAGATTTTGGATCAGTTAGGATTACAACTGTTGAACTGAGCCCAGGAAAACAATAAACAGATCTAAGAATGGCTAATCTAAGCCGAGTTAAGAATGGTTTTTAATAAGATGACGGTATGACGGTCGAGCGACAGAGCGACTTAGAAAGACTCTGGTATGACGGTCGAGCGATTGAGCGACTTAGAAAGACTCTGGTATGATGGTCGAGCGACAGAACGACTTAGAAAGACTCTGGTATGATGGTCGAGCGACAGAACGACTTAGAAAGACTCTGGTATGATGGTCGAGCGACAGAGCGACTTAGAAAGACTCTGGTATGACGGTCGAGCGACTGAGCGACTTAGAAAGACTCTGGTATGATGGTCGAGCGACTGAGCTACTTAGAAACCGAGCTACTTAGAAACCAAGCGACTCTGCAACCTGAACTCTTTGTCTGCTAGCTTAGTCCTTGAGTCTACATCTAGTATAATATTTAATGCCATATACAATAGATTGTATAGATATTTTTAGAGAAAGGAAAAGAATGGAAAAGGAGAAAGGAAATGGGAGGAAACTGTGAGGGGAGAACATGGTGCAATCTATTGTATATGACATTAAATATTATACTAGATGTAGTATTGAATTCTCAAAAGCTCTTCATTCCAATGAAAAGCTTTATCCAATCTAATCGTTTGTAATGTAAAAGAAAAAAAAAACGATAAAATGGGCGGTCCATTCTCTCTAGGATTCCCAAATCGGCTTTTGTTTTTTAATTTTTTTTTTCCCTTGAATTTATAGTTGTCCATTCGTTCGACTCAATGAAGCAAATATTCTTTGAATTTTTCAAAATTTATGTGCAAAAAGCTAATCCTAGCTTGAAAGCTTTTCAAAAATGAACTCAAAACTTCAGGTGTGTGTTTGTTTGTTTTTTTTTTCAATACGATTTTTCTTGAAGTACATTTAGAATTAAAGCCGAATTAAAGCCGAATTAAAGCCGAATTAAAGCCGAATTAAAGCCTCAAAATTGTGTTGGGATTAATCTATTTCCTAAAATGCACTTATTTTAGACAAATTATTATAGTTAGATCATTATTTTCCCTTTAAAAATAGATTGTTTTCTAAAATTCACCCTTTCCATCGTCGTTCTTGTTTTTTTTTTTTTCATTTTAATCTATCTTTCTATAAAGGCGATTAAGCTGATAATCTTTTGTCTTACTGTAAAAATAAAACAAATCTAAATTAATAGATTAATCCCAACATAGCACGTGTGGCTGACTGGTTAAGTGTCTTTTATCTTAATCGGAAGGTCGAGGGTTCGAACCCCACATGCGACATGGTCACCCCCTTCGGATTTCCTTTCCCTTCGGGTTGAGAGGTTTTCTGGAGGGCAGTCTGGTGGTTGTGGCCCCAGTTCTTTAAAGTGACAAGCCACTCCTTCATCGTCATCTTCCCTTCACCACCAAAAAAGCTATTTAGTTCCCCATTGAGCTTAGGGTTAGGGAGCCGTCTGTCATGACGTGGGTTAAGTTAAGATATAGCCTAGTATTGTGTGTGTCGTTGTATTGTGATTGATATATTTCGTGTATGCGATAAATTCACCACTGGTAGCCCCAGTCGGTATTTTTTTAAATCTAGAAAACTCTCTCTCTCTCTCTCTCTCTCTTTCAAAACTTTACATAAAGGCTCTCTTTAAAGGCCCCAATATACTTTGTGCTCAAAACGCATCCCTTCTAGAGCACTTGATTCTTTCATTTCTTGTAGAAATTTTCGAGAAAAACAAGAATTTCAGTGCGCTAGAAAGAAGAAGCATTGGTGTATTTTGTGCTCGCGGTGCACGAAATACACCAATCTTTCCTCTTTCGACTAATCTTTACAAAAAGCTTTTCTAAGAAAGCTTAACCAATTTTCTTTTCATTATTTAATGCAACAATCCTTTCTCTTTTCCTTTTCATTACCTCAATTTGTCCTTTCTTAAAATTGCCCCCAATTTTCTGCTAGATTTCCCCCTATTCATAAATCAATTATCATTACCCTTCATTCAAAGACTAATCTCAATGTTTTGTACATAAAAGGCACGGTACATTTGGATGATAGCTTTGTACTTTTTGATTAATCTTTTCAGTCATCTTCATACGGATTATATACCGAGAAATGTTAAAATGATTATAATTGGAGGTAGTATTGTTTAAGCCTAAGTCTAAGCCTTCGCACTAAGTCCAAGCCTAAGCCTAAGCCTAAGCCTAAGCCAAGCCCAAAAAGCACCCGGATGACTAGCCCACAAAAGCACCCGGATGACGAGGCTAAGCCTGCCTGTCCTTGCCACCTTTACGGTCCTAGAGTCAAATGATCATTCTCATGAATAGCTGTGATTCTGTGTTGTTTCAAATCTTAATTTTAATTCAAAAATGTAGATAATATTACCAAATTAAGCCAGAACCTGGCCAAAACAGCTGCAGGTTACAAGCTTAATCTAAACTATTAGCCTAACTCTGGTTTCTCCGACTTACAGATCTTAGCACTCGTTTAACTAGCTGTTTACTGGTCTGGCTTCTGACTTGCAGATCCTAGGACCCCGTTGATCAGGTTTTGTCTGATCTAACTTCGCTACTGGTTACAGATCTTAGCGCACATCTGGCTTCTGGCCCTTGCCAGGCCCTAGAGCTCGATGATGAGGCTCTACAAACCCTAGAACCCAAGCGATTGAATCTTATCCAGCTTGACTTCATTACAGGCTATTGACCTGATTGGCTCTGGTCTGGCTTTGTCTGGCTGACTACAGGTTACAAACTTTCAGACCTGATTGAAACACCCTTGATTCGATCTTTTGTATCTTTATCATTCCTTTTCTTTAATCTTCTCGACAATGTGTGTGATCGGAAAACGTGAGAGATCGCAAGACTGTTCATTGCTTTCTTTCTTTCTTTTTCTTGCACTTGAAAGAGCAAAGACAAAACTTCTTATGTTTCCTCGTCTTTCCTTCACTTCCCTTCTCTCCCCTTCTCTTTCCTCATCTTCTCCTTCTTGTCTATATTTGGTGGATGTGTGTTGAATGTTTGTGTATGTCTTCTGTTTATTCTGGCCTATACTTTGAGCACAAACCTTGCAAAGCTAAAATATCAAAAATTTTGTTATAACGGCTAACAAAGGCTTGAGGAGATTACATTGAAAAGATTATCGGACATACTTATACTTACAAGGGAAAGTCACGAAATCAAGGTGGCCAATTGAAACTAGACCTAGACCTAGACCAGATCTAGACCTAGACCTAGACCTAGACCATCCAATCCGAATCTGCCGTCGGTTTTTGCTAAATAAGTCGGAATCGCAAGGAATTTGACAAAAAAGTGAATGAGAGGCCAAAAAGCTGCCGAATTCCTTTCAATTCTGATCTATTTGAGCAAAAACGGACAGCAGACTCGGAATCAGCGTAAAATTCTGTATTGGATGGTCTAGGTCTCATTTCGATTGGCTACTGATTTCGTAACTTTTCCTTATTAGTCTAGGTACTGTACGTTTCGAAACAAATTCCCGAGTTTTCTTGGTCATTTGATTTATTTTTATTTTCCTGAAATTATCGTACATATCAATGACCAAGAAATAAAAGTGGAATTTTTTTTCATAGCGTACTATTATGGATCTATATCTATTTTTTTTAAATTTCCTCAAATTTAGGCCCACATGGCCGGCTCGGGGGGTCCGCCCCCGCCACGGGCTTTCCTTCCGTCATTTTCTTCGCTAGCCGCTTCGCTTTCCGCGTCCACATCGGCGAGTGCAGGTATATTTAGCTGATTATAACTGATTATTTAGATATCTAGATAGATATTCTAGATATTTATCTAAATATTTCCGCGTCCACATCGGCGAGTGGCAGGTACAGTACTGGACAATGAAATATGATATTTGAAAAACGATCGTCACTTTCGCGCGTCTGTAACTCCCCTTGTCTTTGAGTTTAAACTATTAGTGTTAAACATTTTCTGAAAGCTCTTTTCAAGGGCTACACAATGGTAATATTAATATTTAGAAATACGGTAAATACAAGGGAGTTACAGACGCACGAAAGTGACGATCGTTTTTCAAATATCATATTTCATTGTCCAGTAGTGTATATTTAGCTGATTATAACTGATTATTTAGATATCTAGATAGATATTTCTAGATATTTATCTAGATAGATATTCTAGATAGATATCTAAATAGATATCTAGATAGATATTTCTAGATAGATATCTAGATAGATATCTAGATAGATATCTAGATAGATATTCTAGATAGATATTCTAGATAGATATCTAGATAGATATCTAGATAGATATCTAGATAGATATCTAGATAGATATCTAGATAGATATTCTAGATAGATATTCTAGATAGATATCTAGATAGATATTCTAGATAGATATCTAGATAGATATTCTAGACAGATATCTAGATAGATATCTAGATAGATATTCTAGATAGATATCTAGATAGATATTCTAGATAGATATCTAGATAGATATTCTAGATAGATATCTAGATAGATATTCTAGATATTTATCTAGATAGATATTTCTAGATATTTATCTAAATATTTATATCTATATTCTTGCAATTTCTTGCAACTTCTAGGCGCTCCACCACTCCCAATTTTCCTCCCCTCAACTTCTCCATTGCAAACCCCGCCCACTCCAACCAGTACCACGAGTTTCCCTGAATTTAGGGTAAGGTCTAAAAGCTTTAAAAAAATAAAATAACTTGCACAATCCATTTAGAAATACAGAAATACAATTTACATTTATATTTAAACTATAAAGAACCGTGTACAGAAGCTTGCAAGCCTTGATGTACAATAGTACAAAGATTACTGGATAAACGAGAACAGTACGATAGCTGTTGAATATGGTATTTGTTTAGGAATCGCTCGGCACCCGTGCCCCTCCCGTACTCGCCCCTCCACTCCCCATCCTCCTCCAATCAACCTCTCCATCTCACTCATCACTCCTTTCCTCATCTCTTCTCCAATCTTCCCATTCCACTCATTCAATCGATCTTCCATCGACATCAAGAATCTCTTCAGCTTCCACGTTGTCCACATCTCCATCAACGCCAGTAAAGGTTTGTTCAGTACAATCAGGAGCAAGAGAGAACTCGAGCCTGATTCTGATCTGGCTTGACTCACAAAAAGTTCTTGGGCTGTCTGGCTGGCTTTACTAAACCAGCAAAAGTCCTTGGGCTTGCAAGAACCCACGGCTTATGGTTTTAAGATTTGTTTGGATTGGTTATTTGGATCATCTCAAGCCAACCTAATCTTCATACAACCAATAAGCTTTTTGAACTTAAATTTCGTCGCTAAACTTTTCTGGAAGCCAGAAGCTAGTCCTGGGTACGGCTTACAAGTTCTAGAAGCCGGTTGGGAGGTTAGAAGCTTAAGCCTAAGCCCAAACCCAAATAGACTTAGTGCTAGGCGAGTGGTGGAGTCTAATCTTCATAAAACCAATAAGAATCTCTTCAGCTTCCACGTTGTCTACATCTCCATCAACGCCTTCGTACTAAGCCTAAGCACTATCGTAAATCTAGATTAGTATTAGAGCTAGACACAAGCATTAGACTACTTCAAACTACTTAAAACTACTTCTGACTTGATCTTTGGCTCTATACTAGTTAGACTAGTTAGACTAGTTAGTCTTTTAGTTGTAAATGTAACCTCTTGGAAAGTATAGCCCAGGAATAGCCTTGTACTTATCCTATCTCAAAAAGGTTACTGTATGATTTGTCTGACATTCCAAGCACGTGTCCATTCTCATCATTGCCAAGAAAAATCCCCCAATAATGAATTCACTCTAGATAGAAAAATTAGCTGTTTTGATGAGAAGAACATTGCTGAATTTTGTCGACTTTTCAACAAATCCCCTCCAAATCTTTTCACTAATTAGTTTTTGTTGGCTTATCCATCTTTTTTTCTTTATAAAGCTTATTCAGGTCACGTAAAGATTAGCCAAAAAAAAAAAAGAAATCTTCTTCTCAGCTTTTCGAATGAGATCTGAAATCCTTTTCTTTCTCCAGACCAACTATCTTGGGATGTTTGAAGTCAAAATGTGGATAAGCAGATAAAGCAAATAATATTTTCAATGCCACCGATACATTTCCAAGTTTCATTTGTATTTTGCAGATATTTGAAGATATTTGAAGATATTTGAATTTTAGCTTTTCAAGAAATGTTCTAAAATTTTAATCGAACAGTTTTATAAACAAAAATCTAGAGAGATCAAAAAAAAATACAAAAAAGCGGCTTATCGAAAAACCAGACAAGACTACGGTAGCTTGTTCACTTGAATACCTTTTTCGTGACAGTCTTTATAGTATCCGATTTCAGGGTGAGCGCTGTGTCGGCTGTGGATCAGAGAGCGCGATCCGTGTCCACTACGGAGCCCCATCGTGCCATGGATGCAAGGCTTTTTTTAGGTAAAATCGATTGGATAAGAAAGATCAAGTACACTAGAAGAAATGCGTTTACAAATTCTAAGCACAAAGTACAAAGTAGAAAGTCTATTCAAAAAAAACCTCTTTTTTTGATCGTCCGTCCGTTCGTATCGTCTTTTTTTATGATTTGTCCGTTCGATTCTTTCGAAATTCGAATTATCTCTTAGAAAAAGAGTAGACAAAGCTGCTTAAATAGAAACTTTTCGATATTGAATCTCTGAATTTGTCTTTTTTTTGTTCAAAACGCAACCCTCATTTCTCTGAAATCTCTCCTCTACATTGTTCTCATTCTTGTGCTCTTGATGAGAGTTTGGAAATTCAAAACGCATCAAATGATTCGTTCAAAAAAAGCTGAACAAATGTAGAGAGAAGATCACGTGAAGGAAATGCTTTTGAAAAAGAGATTTCTCTGTAAAAGAATGAGGAATGAATGATTAGGGATGTTGGAGGAATAGAAAATTCATCATTTTTGTTCAAATTTCATCTTTACTTTTAAGCGTTTACTTGTAGGAATCGTTGTAGGAATCGAGAAAAAGCATTGTGCAATGGGGACTATTCAAAAAGCTATTCAACCACACCAAAAAGCTATTCAAATGGGGAATTGAATGAGAATCTGCGTAGGAATGGAGCTTTTAAAAAAGCATTCTTTAGAAGAGCACTTCATTCCTTTTTTTTTCAAGTGATCCCTTGGTATTCCGGTGAAAAAAAAATTTAATCAAGGTTTGATAAGAATCTAAATCAAAAACCTAAAGTCAATGAGTTTCAATTGAATATTTTAGCGCAAACGACCCAGTTGCGCAAAAAAAGTTGCTGAAACCAGCCTGCCCCCCTAATTTCACCAAAAATAGCCTATTTAACTTTAGATTTGACCAAATTAAAAACCAAAATTTTAAAAATAGACCAAAATCAAATCAAATTAAATTCAGCGCAAGTAACTCAGTACTCAAATTTTATCTAATATTATAATTAAATACAAATAATCAAAATCCACTGAATACTGTAACCAATTTGTGAATAATAAGCTGAATGTTTTGATCTAAAACTAGACTCGATTTCATAGCAATGTTTCCATTTTGCAGCGAAAAATCGCCCGAAAACCCAAATCGATTCTAATCTTTTGGTTTTCCGTTGATTTTCTTTTGAAATTTCTCTTTTGGAGAAGAGCACGAAAGCATACCTCAAGGCCGTTTTGGAGGAGAATCCAAGAGATGAGAAAAGAAAGAAAAAGAGATGCGAATTTCTTTTGAAAAGAGTTTTCTTCAAACTTGAAATCAACTAGAAATCTTTTTCTTTTCTTTCTTTTCCTTCTCTTTTCCACCTCTTTTCCACCTCTTTTCCTCCTCTTTTCCTGCTCTTTACCTCATCTTCTCCTCCTCTTCTCCTCCTTTCTCCTTCTCCATTCCGATTTCTCGATCCTTCCGATCTTTTGGATTTTGAGCCTTTCAAACCAAGCGAATAGTGGGGATTGGTTGGAAATGAATTGTTGCTTAACTTAACTTAACTTAACTTAACTTAACAAAAGCCAGCACTTGAAGCAATTCAATTACTCAATTATCTGAGTAAATGATTGCAAAAATTGGCCTGAGAGGTAAAAACTTTTAAAGTGTACCTTTGTAAACCAAATTGCAAACTAGAGTTAACCAGTTTGTGGATGAATTTGTAAAAAAAAATACAGCTAATACAATAAATATCTAGTAGTAAGCGGTTATACGATCAAGCTAAAGCATTGAATGCTTCAAGTTTACGGTAAACAATGGAAAATGGATTATGGTAGGAAATGAGTCTTTTTTTAGCCTTCTTTTCATTTCTACTATGGTAGTAAATTTAGCTCATAAGCAAGCTTAAAAATCTAAAAGTCAAAGAAATACAGTAATCATATGCAAATCAACATTTTCGATTCTAGACGAAGCGTTTTTGAGGGTCGTCACTACGCATGCTCGGCCGAGAATCACTGTGAAATCACGAATGGTTTGTTTTCGATTGCAATTTCAATATTAATAATAATCACTGTGAAATCACGAATCGTTCGTTTTCTATTTCATTTCAATTGCAAATTTCAATATTAATAATATAATTAAAGATCGAAATCTCTTGTCATTTATCTAAGTACTTTTTTTTTGTCTAAGCTACTGTAACTGGGTGAAACTTATTGTCAAAAAATGCAAGCATTTTCGATTTTCTTCTTCTTCTTCAATACATCACGAAAATGAGTCCGATCTTGGGAAAAGAAGAGATCTTTGTGGAAATTGAAAGGAAAAGAAAAGATTTGGGGTTTATGTCATCATGAATGATGAGATGATGCACTTTTGCATTACTCTGACATCATGAAGTTCTTGCTCAGTGAAAAAATGCACACTTTTTGAAGCAACGAAATAGCTTTCCTTGTTGCAGACTGTCTACTCAATGAAAGACTTGATAGACTCAATGAAATGAACTCAATCAGTTCTCTGATAAACAAGTTTACAGCTGAATATCTAAAAGAAATCCCAATGTAAATGACTGACGAGGTGATCTTTGAGCGGTCGCACAATCGCTCGCCTTCTGGCACAGCCTCCCGCTAGATAGGTGTTCGTAAAAAGGTAGCCGATTCCCTTTTTTCACTATGCCCAAATCTCTGAGAATCAACTTTTGCCTTAATTCAGCTATATTATTTGCGAGAATAATATAGCTTTCTACATCCTGTAAACAATTTTGTTACTTAAACAGTAGCTAAATTGATAGACAAATATACGTGAAAGTTTTATCGCTTGTTTGTCTTTTTTTCTCAAGATTGACTAGCCCAATCAACCTCTATTTAGTATCATTTAAAAGCCTGTTCTCTTTAAAATCATATTTAAACAATATGTAATAAACAATAACAATTAAAAATCATTTAAAGCTCTTTAAAACCATCTTTAAACAATATCAATCCAAAGTGAGTCTCCAAAATGCTTTCTCTACACGGTTCTCAAATGCTTTCTCTACACGCTTCTCTCAATGCTTTCTCTACCCGACAAACTTTCTAAAGTATTTTTTTGTTTCGATGATTCCATAAAATGAGTGAAACGACTCGAAAACGACATCTTTCGATCTTCTTTCTTTTGTTTTTTTCCCCAAAAAACGAGTCTCACTCAAAAAAATACTTGCTGAAACTTTTTCTTCTTTTCTCTCCTCTCAGAAAACAAAATTCTTGTGTCAAAAGAGGAAAAGAGCCAAAGCACAGAGTGTAAAAGTCCATTTTGGAAAGAGAAAATGAGACTGTTAATAAATGGTTGGGGATTGGCTAGAAATTCAATCCTAGATCGATACAATTATACAATTTTAGGATATTTTAAGCCTATGAATCTTGATTTATACTATGATTCTTTCTCTGAAATGTTTTCTAGAAATTGCTCTTCAAAAACTACCATAACTTCTATATTTATCTCTCTACTTTTGATCTGATTCTCTGAGAGTTCAAAAAAAGATCATAAAAGATATCGAAAGATAGATTGGCTAAAGCTAGAAGAAGAATTACGGTTGTCGAGAAAGTAGGAAACGCAAAAGTTGAGAAGAGCTTTCTAATTGGGCAAGAAATGGGATTATGATCAATCTAATTGAGCAAGAAATAAGATTATGATCAATCTAATTAACCAAAATACAAATGTAATAGAATACGAGTGTTTTAGCTAACTTTATCACTAAGTTTTCTATTCTAAATCTGATATCTGACATCGATTCACTGTTGATGTCGATGTCGATGTCGATGCTTCAATCCTCTCCTCTCTCCATTTACCATTTTCATTTCGATCCACTCAAATCATGGAATAGTTAGGATTTTACGGCAGTTTTATAGAAATTGATCGAACTCCCGTGTGTCAAATAGAGTGTATTTACGTGAGCACAAAGTACATTCACAAGAGAAAGTACATTTACAAGTGCACAAAGTACATTCACAAGTAGCCATCGGAGAACCGAATTCTTCATTTCTTTGAAGAAAAAGTCTTCATTTCTTTTAAAAGAGGTGAATCTTTGTGAAAGATTAGAATAGAATAGAATAAATTGATAAATAAATCTTTTGTCGGTAGAGATTTAAAGCCACAGTTGAGAATCAATATCAATTCCAGAATCCCGAAATCGTTGCCGGGCATGCCGCTTCCGGAATTGTCTCGATGGTGGAATGAACCCGAAACACGTGCGAGAAGAAAGAAGCAAAAGTGATCGATTGCATCAAGAAAGACAAACAAATGAGCAACAAACGATTGCACAACAACAACAACAGCAACAACATCGGACACCCACGTCGACTCCTGGTGAGACTTTAGGCATTTTAAAGAAATGATCAACAAGAGAATTCAATCAAATGAATAACTCAAATCGATTCACCGACCCTGAAAACCCCCGGGTACAAATTTCCAGCAAAAATCCGGCTATTACCTTGCTCTTAGAACAGGAAATTTTATTTAAATATATTAGGTTGGCAACTTAATAATGACGCGTTTATGTAACAAATCATTTATTCCAAAAAAACACAAAAGAAGAGCTTTCAATTCAAAAGGTATTCTCCATTAGTATCTATGACTTCTTCCCATCTTCTGCGCAAATCCCGGATCCCATCCTCGAAGAACTTGGGAGTTTTTGAGGCGAAGTAGTCATTCACTGCTTTTATGACCTGAGCATGATCATCGAACTTTTCTCCCTCCAAAAAGTGCTTCAGCGACCGAAACAAAAAGTAATCTGAAGGAGCCAAGTCGGGAGAGTAAGGTGCGTGGGGCAGTACTTTCCAGCCAAGTTCCTCGATTTTCTTATAAGTGATCTTTGCAGTGTAAGGTTTTGAATTGTCGTGTAAAAATCTGAATCTCTCGGTTTGAGCCCCAATTTCTTCAAAGAATCGTTAACTCTCATTAATTGAATCGAATAGAAAGATCAGCATCGACGGTTTGACCAGGTTTCAGCACTTCATAATGCACCAATCCTTGAAGTTCCCCCAGCAACAGAGCAGTATCTTCTTCCCATGGATATCAGGTTTGGGAATGGTTTGACGGGGTCTGCCCAGTAGATAGCCATTGATTTTTGCGTTTAACGTTCTCGTAGTTGATCCACGTTTCGTCAGAAGTCAAAACCCTGTGAAAAAACTCGTTTGTCGGTAGAGATTTAAAGCCACAGTTGAGTAGCAATACAATTCCGAGGCCCGACATTGTTGCTTTGGGTCAGTTCGTGAGGAACCCATTTTCCGGACTCGATTCTTTTCCCAAGTTTGTGGAAATGGTTTTCGAAACACGTATGGGATACTTCAAATATTTCGCCAACTCACGAATGGTGAGTGTTGGGCAATCTTCAATTAAGGCGAGCAAGTCATCGTCGACCACTTCTGGAGGATGTCCTTGGTGTGGCACGTCTACGAGGCTTTCATCGCCGCCTTGGAATCTTTGAAACCATCGTTGACATTGCCGAATGTGTATACTTTCCTCTCCAAAAACAGTGATGATCGTGCGATGAGATTCAGCTGGTGATTTTCCTTGTTTAAAATCGTAGAACAATGCAACTCGAATACGGGTTTTTTTGTCCTTCCATTTTTGCCCAAAAGAGAATTCAATGAAATTTGAATAACTCAAATGCGATTTATCCAGACCTCTTTAAACCCTGGGTACAAATTTCCAAAGAAGGAAAAACCGGCTTGAATTACAAAAAACTTGCTATTAGAGACAGGAAATTATTAAGTTTCAACCTAATAGTTTGTGATGTACCTAACACTACCGAAATCAGCCTGTTTTCCTCTCACTTAACTTTACCCCAATCGAAATCTAGAAGCAAAACATGTGTACATTTAAATGATCACATGAAATTCGAGAATATTTTGAGAGGCAAGTCACAAACATTTCCCTCTTTCCCTTTCACTTTGCCGAACTTGATTTTGTCGCCAATTTTTGTTGTTTGTGTTCATCGTTTCGATGCTCTTGCGAACGATGCGAAAATGGATTTACCGATTTGTTTTCTAGGGGACCTTTTTTGGATGATCAAATGGTCTCTCGATGCTCTCGTTGCGTCAGTTGAGAGAGATCTCAATCAAAGAAGGGATAGGGAAAAACTTTCGCGTAACAAAAGTGCAAATACGCGGGGATTGACGAATAAAGTCTGGAATATCTTGTTGAAGGCATAAGCAAAGAATTGTCGATAGAATGTCGATAGAATTGTCGATAGAATTGTCGATAGAATGTCGATAGAATTATCGATAGAATGCCGATAGAATGTCGATAGAATTGTCGATAGAATGTCGATAGAATTATCGATAGAATGCCGATAGAATGTCGATAGAATTGTCGATAGAATGTCGATAGATTGTCAATAGAATGTCGATAGAATTGTCGATAGAATGTCGATAGAATGAGCAGTTGAATGCGAAGAGATGCATTCCTCTTGATCTCTTGTTCCCGGTAATTTTCCCGGACAAGGCTGGGCCACACCTGGACCCGGTATTACCACTATTATTACACTGTCATAAGTGGTGCTGATCCAGGTCTATGGTAGTTCCGAAAGTTGGGAAACTCGTTATACATTTAGATATCTGAGGCTTATTGTAGATCTTGTTTTAGTTTTTCCCCTTTTCCAATTTCTATCAGCTCCTCCAATAAAGCAAACGAATTCAAAGTCATCTTTGAACCTTCCCAAAAAGAATAACGAATACCTTTCCAAAAAGACTAGCCTGTCCCCTTAAGTTAAAACAAAAATACACTCAATCTCTTGTCATTAACAATTCCAACAAATTTATCGTTTTCTAAAGTGCACCTTCGACTTCCCTGTCTAGATTGTCACCAGGAACAGCCCGTCTGTGCCAGAGTATTTTTCTTTTACCTTCCTCCTATTTGTTCTACCTTTTGTTCTTCGGATTAATTCTTTATTCCATCAACGTTATTATGGATAAACCTACCGTAAATACTGTAATAGTACCCCACCCCCTCGTATAGTCGCGTAGTCGCAAAAGCCTTTTAGTATTTCATTTTTTTCGAAGCGCCCGTACTTTCAAAAAATGCATCTTTGGTATCAAAAAATAGCTGAAATTCAGGGCTATTTTTTGATACCTAAGCGCGCATTGTAGCATAAACAAGTGTCGAGAAAAACTCGTTCAAAGCTAGACTACGCAACACTCCGCACCGTCATTATGGGGGTGCGGTACTATTACAGTATTTACGGTAACTTTTATTCCGCAATCAAGCTAATCACGAGGATATACCATCAACCATAAAACTTTTTCTGAAAAAGCAAATCGCTTATTCGATTCGATTTGATGAAGAGGCAACTTTTTTGGTTTCAAATGAGGCAATGATGTTTTTTAGGTGCTTAGGTGAAGATCAACAAGCCAAATTTTGTTTTGATACCGTATCCAGCTGTTTTGCTACCGTAAATGCTACATAAAAAGTACTAGACCTCAGCTGGAAATTAGTACACTTATTGGCACAACTTTTTCAACAGATTGCTGTATATTTTGCCACAAGTTGGCAATTGTACCTTAGTATAGCCGGCAGATTACCGTATCCATTTTACATCGAATTCACAATTGGGCAAATCTGTTGAAGAGACTACTGTCTGTTGTTGATCCACTGAATACCCTGTCTAAAGCCCCATTTGCCGCTGATCTCGCATCTCTCTTTCCATAAAAAAAATTCGATTACGACCCACTTTCGCGAATCAATCGACGCTTGCAAAATCCGACACAAATCTCGTTGTTTCGTTGGGTTTGGAGAAAAGATAAAAGAGAGAAAGAAGAGAAATCTCTCCAATTTTGGCATCAGAGTTCAAGAGTTCGATCTCCCGCAAATTCTCTCCTATTTTGAAAACAGTTTTACCCCACAAAATCACGAGAGAAACCCCGGAATTGTGAGTGTTTCGATGCTTTTGTGAGAGAGAAAGCTTTCGATGTCGATTTCTCTCCGAATTTTTTTCAACTATCGGGGACTGGCAAACATTTGGAATATATAGGGTTTTGAGGCAGTTTTGTAGAAACCGATCGGAATCCTGTGTGCCAGATAGAGTGTGTTTACGTGATCACACTGTGCACTGATAAAGTCGTCGATCGATAAAGCTCAACAAACGAAACATTTCGAAATTTCAGTCGAAGAGCAACAAATCACAATCTTTTTGATAGCTTTGGAGCGACAATGTGAGCAATTGACAGACGAGGACGCTACGGTAAAGATAAATGAAGATTTTCTTTTAAAAGTTGATAAACTCATAAAGCCAAAAAGCAATTCCTCTCACTCAGACGGAACAATCACAACTTCACGAGATCGCTCGTCAAGTCACCGACAATCTCAGTTTGCAGAATATCGCGAGAGTTAGACGGCGTCCGGTGAGTGATTAGAAAAGGATATTGAGGCAATGAGTATTATAGAAGTGTTGAAAATTGTTAAAAGACTGGAGATTTGATCTTTTAGAAGTGAGATGAGCTATCTAGTTAGCTCTAAAGTAGACAAAGATCCCCGAGAAATAGACAAAGATCCCCAAGAAATAGACAAAGATCCCCGAGAAATACACTTCAAATTTCACATTCTCATCAGATCTATTCAATTAACCCTTTCAGATGGTGTGGACCTGTGAGAGAATAATGAGCGACGAGGATATCTCGAGTACCTGGTACAGAGCCTTTGTCCTCCTTGCCGATTGGGCAATGAGCATCCCAGAGTTCCGAATTTTACCTCAAAGTGATCAGGTACTAAAATCATCAAATGATTTTCAGAAAATCCCATTTTCAGACAATTCTCTTCCGACAAAACTTCATGACGTTCGGCTGGCTGCACTACACCTACAAATGGTAAAATTTGATGGAGAGAAGTCTTTCAGAACAAAAAAGCTTTCAGCTATGCGAATGGTCATTCACCGATTGGAATGCCGATCGGTAACGGTTCCTTCATTCCATATCGAGACAGCGATCTGGCAAAAATGGATCCCAAGTAGCATAGCAATTCCTAAATTCTTACTGTAATTTCTAATAAAGATGGATCTCGACGTATGGTTTGTTGGGTCGGAAAGCGATCGACACCGTCGTTAAACCAATGGCTGAACTTGAAATCGATGAGGAAGAGTATTGCCTTCTTAAAACGATCGCTCTATTTCAACCAGGTAATACGAAAACATTGGCAAATCTAAAATGATTCTCAGATAACACCCTTTCCGAAACGGGAGCTTGTATTGCGGCTCGACAACGCGACAAACTATTAGAAGCTTTCGCCACTCATTCAATTGAACGACGATTCCCCCATCTTTCAACTACCCAAAAAGCTGCTCGTGCTTTAAAAGCAACTCTCCTATTCCCAGCTTTAATTGTAAGTTTCAAAATTGAAAAAATTACTGAAAATATTTCAGTCGATTTCCCAATTCGAAGCCAGCTTCATGCAAAACCTGAGCGCAATCGAAGTATCTTCTCTTTGCGGGATTTCTGGAGATGTTCTACGATCATTGGATCCAAGATAAATCCATTCCTAGTTGTTTTCTTGCAGAAATTTTCACCCAATGCATTCACTTTAATTCCTTATTAAAAATTTTTCCATGATACGGGTTCAACATTGTGATTTTTAAGCGGTTAATCTTTTTTGCTGGCCATTTTTTAATACCTAAATAATATCACCTCAGAATAAGCCTTCATGCGTATCTTTCCATATCGCACCATGTATTCTTTGTCTTATTCCTCTCAGGGCACAATAAATTGTTTCGCAATTTCGAAGAGTCAACATAGCTTATTCACAAAAGCTTACCTAAGGAAATCAAGCTTCCCATTTTCAAATGTACGAGGTTTCTTTATGAAATGTGGTTTATTGCGAAAATTTACTGTAACATTTATAATAACAAAAATAACAAAACAGGAATTTATTTTTTGCCAGCAGTCGCAGCCGTGGCCTTTTTGGTTCCACGCACCTTCTTCATCCTGTTCTTTCGTTCCTTGCGTTGTTTACGTCCACCCTTCTCGACCTTCTTGATGATTCCGTACTGAAAAAAGTTATTGAATATTGCAATTCAGCAGTTAGCGCTAGAAGCTTATAATAGATGAATGGAAAACAAAACAACAAGGCCATACGTAATTTAAAAGTGACGTTGTCAATACTAATCTCTAATTCAACCAAGAGCGTTTTAAAAACAAAAAAACAGCAAAGTTTAATGCTGAATCTAACATAATAAAATGACAAACCTTGATCAATCGATATTTGGGCTCGAACTTTTTGCAAAGGTCCATGGTGTCATAAACAAGAGCAAATCCAGCGCTTCTTCCTCCTCCGTATTGGCATTGGAAACCATAAGCAATGACGAGGTCGCTGGTCGTCTTGTAGATGTGGGCGATCTTGTCTCGGATCTCGTTCTTGGATACTGAAGCTCGTCCTGGGTGGATCACTTCGACGACCTAGAATTGAAAAATTAATATGATACATGTTTCTAAAATGCGGATTGCGAGTTCCTGGTTGGGTTGAGACTAAAAGTTTTGACTCTTCTCTTTTGCAAACAGAATTGACCGAGTTTTCCCCAATTTTTACATGAATCTTTTAAACTTTCTGCAGTTAAAAACTAACGTAGAACAATCTACTTTTTGTCTCAAAAGTTGCAGTACTTTAAAAAAAAGTCATTTAGTAAACCCATTAACAAGGAAACCACAGAAGTTTTCTTAGAAAAACTACAGACTTTTTACATAATAACCATCAATATGTTTCTATAAGGGGAAAGAGCCAATTAAGAGTACAACTTTTCACAAAAATAAAACAACTTTGCCCCTTTTCCCTCTTGCCCAACTCTCTTGTTCTTTTGCTTACTGCCAACACAAAACACCTTTCTTAATTTGGTTAGGTAAGCCTTACAATTTCCCAAAAAAAGTATCTTCAAAACAAACATACCATCTGTTTGCGGGCAAGGAGAGGATTGGAAAGCACCTTTCGTGTGCGAATCGTAACGACGTCACCCATGTTTGCAGGATCTGCTTGTTACCTGGAAAAACAAAGCATTAATTCAAGCCCGAAAACTAAATACCACAAAAGAAAGATTGAATCGAAAGCATCAAAGAAAGTCTAACAGTTTTGGGATGTGCAAAATAGTTGAGTTAAATACGTTTCAGAAGCTTGATGTATAGATTGATTCTAGCTCGAGCAGTATCTGGAAAAAAATCTTCAATGTTAACACAATAGAGCTCATAGATTCGCTGCATCAAGCCAAGCGCATATTAGATTTGGAAATGTAAGTGCAAAGAATGGGAAATCAGCAAAGATTTTCACTACTTTAACTAATAAAAGTACAAGCACACCACAACAACCGTGCATTGAGATTTGAAACTTTGAAAAAAGAATTTTTCGGCAGGAAATTTCCAAAGGTGTACGGCTGACGCGCCACAAGACGCATTTTGTGGCGGGATTACGGTAACTATCCACCGTTTAGCCGCAGTGCACGCGGAAACTTGTGATTTTTCGTCATTTTCTATTTTAGTTGCTTTTTGCGCAACTTTTTTAATTTCGTTTATCCCCGCACCGACAAATTACGTTTTATCGTGATAGCAATAAAATTTTGATGCCAATTATCAAAAAGTTAAACTTCTTGGTGCTTTAGTCGCGAAAACCACGCACTTTTAGCAACGACGCGCTTTAGGTAACTTATCGATCGATTTATTGCATCTCCCTTTGTGGCATTGACTCCACCTTTTATCTTTCGTGTATATGTTTTCTTTTCTCTAACAAGCTAAAGAACTTAATTTTTTTGTTTAGAAGATGCAAATCTTCGTGAAAACGCTCACGGGAAAAACTATCACCCTCGAGGTTGAGGCGTCGGACACAATCGAGAATGTGAAGGCGAAAATTCAGGACAAAGAGGGAATCCCTCCAGATCAGCAACGTCTTATTTTCGCCGGTATGGTTTTCTTTCAAGTTTGATAAGTACTTAGTACCTTTAATAACTCCATTAAAGGAAACTCATTTTAGTATATTAACGTGGATGCTTCTAACTTTTTAATTTCAGGAAAGCAATTGGAGGACGGTCGAACCCTTGCGGACTACAACATTCAAAAGGAGAGCACCCTTCATCTTGTGCTTCGTCTTCGAGGAGGTATAAAGCTTGCTCCTTTTCCATCAATATTTCTTTTTTAGGTATCATCGAGCCATCGCTTCGTCAACTCGCGCAAAAATACAACTGCGAAAAGCAAATTTGCCGTCGCTGCTATGTTAGTTTCTTAAAGACTCGTAAATAATATTTTTTATTGTGGGCGCGTCTGCTTTTTATTCCGCTTACTAATTCGATAAATTTCAGGCTCGTCTTCCCCCACGTGCTACCAACTGTCGCAAGAAGAAGTGCGGACACTCGAACGATCTCCGCATCAAGAAGAAACTGAAGTAAAAAGTATTTTGTTGGAATAAATTGTTTTTTTTTATTTTAGGTAGCTTATTAAAAAATGCAAACAGTTCGAAGATTTATTGAAAAGTAAACACAGGTTTTTATAATTGAATGCATCTGCAAAAAAGCGTTGTGCTTGGAAACGATACTGTCCATTCTAACAAAGCCTCGCTAGTGATGCCTTTAACTGGCATCCATATTTTGAAGTAGACATCTGTATGTTGTGGTTGTTTGTTTGATTGTTTGAAATTTATGTTTTATCTTCAGTATTATTTGAAGTATGTTGTGGACATCCGGCGGAAATCGTTGCATGCGCACGAATTCCGAGTGGTGCTAACGCATCCCCTGCTGACTCGCCGAACCGAATTTGAAGCGCCCGAGTGCACAATGAATAGCGAGTTGATTGCGTACCACACATGTGTGTCCTCTGCCTCCGAGATAGCGCTCCCTACTAGGGACTCAAGAGACCCTCTACTCACCCCCACATGACCCCATGTCAACCCAACATTTCAGTGATTGCCTTTGCTTTTGGGTCTAGACGCCATTCTGAGAATTCATGGCTAGGTTATTTCTTAAAATAAGGCACAGTCATAAATTCTCTTTTCTCGCAAGAAATTTTCCGTTTCTAAATCCAAATGGGGTCTTTAGGGACTAGTTTGCTTCACATGGGGGCCGGTTTTTGAGTAAATCTAGGCCGCATTTTTCTCGAGGGCTCTCAGCTTTACACTTTCTAGTGAGAGGTGTTCGTAATATGATAGCCATTGGTTTAAAACACAAGCCGTTGAAGGTGTGACGTTTGAGTTGTTTTCGAAGGTTTAGTTCTGTAATAGCTCAAATTTTTTGTTAAAAAAACCCAAACCTAAATTCTGAGATTTGTTGACGGTTTTTTCAGATTCAACAGAGACAGCGGAATTTTTCGTTTGGCGTTGAATTCAATTCGCATTGTAACTTGATCTAGAAACTGGTTAGATATATGAATCAAAGAGTGTTTATAGGTCATGTTTTCTTGTGGCAGCTGGGCCCCACTCTTTTCCTTCTTTCATTCCGACTCTTAACGGGAATATCCAATTTGTTAGTTGTCGGACACCCCTTTTCCCCCATTGCGTTCCATTTCATCAAAATTTCCTTGTCACTTTTGGATTAGAATTTGACCTGGTAAGCTTACTGAAGTTTGGTTATTGTTCTTTTTCATTGGGTCAAGTGCATCAAAGTTATCAAATGTTAGTCTCAGTTATCAAATGAAATTTAAAGAAACCACTCGTTGTCATTTTCAAAAACAATCACAGAGATTTGCGTAAGCTTGTTTTTTTCTGTTTGTTTACCCCACAACTTTCCCTTCGAGGAAACTCCCTTCCGAATTGAAAACCGAATTATGCTGATGTGCTTGAAATTCTCCAGTCGTTTTGCTCGAAGGAAAGAAAAAACTCTTCAGAATACTCGATTTTCTCTTTTCGTGAACTTATCTAGATTGGTTTTTCTGCGTTTTTTTTTTCAATGATTTAGATTACGCTACTCAAAAAAAGTTTTTAGAAAGACTTTTGAAGAATAGCATCGTTTGAGTTTCATTTTAATTTGAAGTTTTCTTCAATATGTAATTTTACCAAAGTTTTCGTTTGCTCAATTTAACGCAACCGTTAAGCTAATCTGACCAAAGCATTGAAATCAGTCCCGTTTCTTGATTCTTTTTCAAAAAGCAAGTTGTAGATCGAATCCACGCAAGCCCCACACATCATATCGACACATCTTTTGGTCCCTTAGGGGATCGTTATCGTTTCTGCTTCACACAAGAACATGAGTGAGTGAGTGAGGGGAAACGTTTCCCCATCATTCTCCCCTACTCCCCTTCAGCTCATCGCTTTTTCGAGGGAATAAGCGGGGAATTCGCTCCTTCGATGATACTCCCACGGGTCGAATTATCATCTCCCTACTTCTTTCTCTTTTTTCCCTTCTCGACTGAGTAGAACCCAATTTTATCCCCTTTGAAAACCGAGAAAACCAAGAAAACTTACCCCTCAAAAAGTCTGAGTGGCTGCTTTAGCTCGTATTTCGGTTTTTTTTTCTAGAGGAAAACAAGCTTTAAAACACTAAGTGGATGATCAGTAATACCGTAATCTTACTATTTAGAATATCTAAGTACCTGTTGTTCATCTCAAAATCTAGCGGCACTTTGATTTGATCTCAGTCATCAGCAGAGCTGTTTCTAACTTAAAGTTTTCTCGCCTGATTCTTATAAATTATTATTATTATGAATTCTGACATGAGATGACAATTATTATGAATTCTAATAACTTATCACAATGCAACGAGATTTTACGTTATTATGAAATGTACTGGATGTAACTGGAAATCTAATGTTACAGGATTAAATGGTCATCATTTTTTCAATCTTTCTGCTTTCTGAGCTCCTATAACTATTTCTATTTCTTAGATTACCCAACGAAGCTCTGCAACTTTTATGGCCTTCTCAAAACAAAATTTCTATCATAATACAACAATTTTTTTGCTTCCCGCAGATGCTAAATTTTCGAATTTATCTATCTTAACTCCCTCTGGAGTAAGGGAAATTGTCTGCATTGTGGTGTAATGGTTAGCACAATTGCCTGGTGAGTGAAAGGTCGCGGGTTCGAGTCCCGGCGGGGCAAAAATTTTTGATCTGCCCTAGTTCCAACTTCTATGTAGATGATGACTTTATAACTCTATTTCTTAGATTACCCAACGAAGCTCTACAACCTTTATGGCCTTTCTATCTGACTAAAACTTAACTCGAATTTCTAATCTTTCGATGCTCTTGACTTCTGATTGTTTATCGAAAAGCTCTCCCCGTCTCAAATCTTATCTTTCCTATCTATGTCCCATTACTCATTTGTTGGGGACATCTGTCCCACTCTTTTCAAGTGAACGGGATGAATGTTTCCTCTTTTCTTCCCAAAGGATCTCTTGTATGCATTTGAGCTTCTCTTCTTTTCTTTTGCCCCTTGCGTGAACTCTTGGCCTTTCCGAGAAAAGAAGTGAGAATCCTCTTGTAATCGCTGGCCCTCCACTTTCAAATCCGATTTCCCCACTCTGCCAAAACACTTATTTAATCCTAAGGCATTAAGTGATGTTGGATTAAATTTTGGAACAAATTTTTTCTCAATAACCAATTCAGAAAGCAATGTAATGATGAAATGGCCATGTGGCCGAGTGGTTTTTTCTCGTCTTTGTTGCGAGAATTTTTTGTATCGAGGAGATGGTGGCATGTCCCGAGGAATGCGAGTGTCCAGGTGATTGGGTGTAAGCTGAAGATTCATTGATCAATATAAAGTAGGATGTACAGTAGGGCTGACATTGAGGCTGTAGACTAAGGACTACAGCCCCAAGGTCAGCCCTAGACTAAGCCAAGCCAGAAGTCAGACCAGGCTAGGATTGGCTCCTGTCTTGAGTCGGGTAAATCGTTTTTAGAAATCCTATAGATTCTAAAAAGATTTAACTGGACGAATTTCCAGATGAGCTCTCTTTGCACTGTCACAATGTGAGCACTTTCGATTGGAATATTTTGAGCACTGCCCGTTTTGAGTCCCTTCAATCTCTATCGATCACTCACTCATCAATGGATGATGTGTCGGCTTTGCCTGGGCTTCAACTCCTTGAGTTTGTCTTGGATAGCAGCGCTTTTAGAGAACTATAATCGAAAGTTTTCATTGTTTTCAGAAAACTCGATCTCACTGGGAATAAGCTGAAGACTTTGAATGTGGTGGCTCCCTTATAAAATGCCTTCATTACGCGTTTTGGATTTAAGCAATAACGAGTTAGAGGTAAGAGTTTGAATTCTAAACAATAAACTCCTTGGAATCAATTCAAAAATCAAAAAAAGCAGATGCTGACTCGAGATTCCTTTTCGGCTTTCCCAAATCTTCTCTCGCTTGAATTGGCTGGGAATCGAATCCGTCGAATTGAATGGTAGACGTTACAGAAACTCTTTTAAAAACCTCATTTCTTTTAGGGATTCTTTTCGACTTTTTCGATTGAAACACATTTCATTGAAAGAAAATGGGATTACGGTAGGGATTTGTTTGAATAAAGATAAAGAATAAAAAAGATTGATTCTTATAGTTAAGTCTTTTAAATTACATTAAATTATGGTAGGGATTTGTTTGAATAAAGGTTTCCTTTTTTTTTTTTTTGGGATTTTTTTTTTTTTTTTTTTTTTTTTTTTTTTTTTTTTTTTTTTTTTATTTTAGGGGGGGGTTTTTTTTGGTGATCCGGGGTTGGGACAAATGCGACCTTTTTTTGCGCACCTGGACATTTGCGCACCTTTTTTTGCTGGAAAAGGCCTTAGGAAAGGTCGTAGAGCTTCAAAAATGTTTTCATAGAAGGGAATCGTATGCGTAGATTCCGAATTTCGGCAAATCAGACCTCGCTGACACGTCAAATTTGGGCTAAAAGGCAAAAACTACGCAACTTAACGCTTTTCCGCAGTTTTTGCCTTTTAGCCCAAATTTGACGTGTCAGCGAGGTCTGATTTGTCGAAATTCGGAATCTACGCATACGATTCCCTTATATGGAGATATTTTCGAAGCTCTACGGCCTTGCCTAAAGCCTTTTCCAGCAAAAATCATATCACTGTTTCAAAGTCGCGGTCTTGCAACCGGATGCTTTAAGCTCGGATCAACCAAATATGAAAACGCATGATAACTCCGTATAGCTCAATGATCCTTCCAGATTGCTAGCTCGGGTTAAAGACTAAGCCATGCTTATCTTATAGTTCAGATATCTGGTTGATCCTATCGGTCACTTAAGGCTGAAAGACTATGCCATGCATATCTTAGTTCAGATATCTGGTTGATCCTATCGCATTTGTCCCCCCCGATTGATCTTTATAATTAAATCTTTTCACAATCTCTTTACGGTTTTCTTTTCTTTTCTTTACAAATTTCCAAATATTTAATTATAAGGCTAGAGAAAATTATCAAAGTTTAATTTAATTATAAGCTAAAGAAGGTGAGAATTTGGAAAGAATTTCGAAAGGATTTCTATTCTAAACTTGTTTATTTTTGTTTAGACCCTCAGCGAGAACATTTTTCGTTTAACGCCGAGTTTAGAGGAGATCGATTTGAGCGGGAATAAGGTAATTTTCGATTTTTTTGATCTCAATAAGACTATCGGCTTGATGTTGATGAGGGTCAAATTTCAGCTTTGGCGTGTTCAAACGTCGGACTTTTCGTCAGCTCAACGGCTCAAAGTTAGTCTAAATGTTTAGTTTCAAAGAAATACGACAAGGCACTGGATACTAAGCTATTATTATTAACTAAACTATTAACTAAACTATTAACTAACGATACAGGGCTCACTATATTCTGACCTGGCTTTACCGTAGTTTCTAGAGCTACCAGAAGCCAGTCTGGACTTGGCTGGACTCTAGCCAAGCCTAACTTGACTGGACTCTTGCCTAACTGCTCTTACAAGTCCTAGAATCCGATTAGAACTACTGTACTCTGTTTTTCTATAATATTATAGTACTGTACGCTGTAGTACTCTATTTTACTGACCAGAAATCGATTCAGGTTCTAAACTTCTCCCAAAACTCGATCCGTCAATTCGACTTCGACTCTTTTGCTCCATTTTATCAGGTCTTCTTTATTCTTGTTTACCATTGTGCCAGTCAAGTAGTCATAGTGAATATTTTCAGTTAGAGACTCTCGATCTATCGTACAACAAATTCTATACGCTCCCCAGCCGCGAGTTAATGCCGTTGCTTGGATTGCGGACGTTGATTCTCAAGGGGAATCCCGTTGTCGCACTTAAAGCCAATCAACTTGTACTGCCCGCGTTACAGGTTGGCCATTTTGATTTTAAACCATAAACTTTAAACGGTTCTTTTCCAATATCGGGGGAGCGAAAGGAAAAAATCGGGGGGAGCAAATTTTGGCAGCGCTACATATGTCCTATTTAAAATTGTGACGAACGGGAGCTTGCTTTGTTGCAAAAAGTTATCGACTCGAATTCCTCTTGAATGCTTGGGGACCTTTCGCCGTTGCGCAAGTGTCACACATCCAGCGAAATAGATCTTTTCCCTTTGAGCGAACTTTCATCGATTCGCCACAGTTGCAAATCCACGACTGGATGACTCCTTTGGTGACGAAATAATCGAGATTGTCGTCGATTCCTTGAACGCACAAATATCGGAGAAGCCGAAGCGTCGGAGAAGCGTCGTTAAAGTTTTAAAAAACGTTGGAGTTAAAATACAGTCCCGGAAATGCATTTTTCGAGGAGGCAAAATTTGCTCCCCCCGATTTTCCTTTCGCTCCCCCGATATTGGAAAAGTACCCTTTAAACCATAAACTTTAAACTATAAACTTTAAAACAAATGAATGATTGTCCTTTGTCAGACCCTCGACATCTCCTCATCCTCCTTTACGAGTTCTAACCGCTCATTCACTCTCGAGTCTTCCATCAATTCACACGATTATCCTCGCGAATAACCCAAATTTGACGATTATCTCACCAAAAGCGCTCGAGAATAGCTCACTCGTTTTCAGGTAGATTTTTGAGATCAATCTCTGTACAATTTCAAATTGCTTTTCTTTTCAGCTTAGACATCTCGAATTGCTCTCTAAAATCAATCTCGATGAATCTATTGCAGAGTGTTGCACAAGCACAGGTTTATAAATAAATCAATCTGTACTTTTGAGAAATATTCTACTAAATATTAGCTTTGTTTTTTTTCTTTTGTTTTCAGATTTCGGGAAACCCGTTGGATTGCGGCTGTGAGGGGAGCTCGTTGGATCGGATCTCGACAACGATTGTCGATTATCCAGATGTTGAATGCTTAGATCGAAAAGGAGAACTTTATAAGTACGGTGATAACAAGAGTAGGGATAAAAGTACGCGTGGATTAGCTGAAGTGTAGCTATCAAAAAGCTATCAAAAAGCGAAACATCTAGATCAAGTCAAGCCAAATCTAGACTCAAATTGAAGCTAAAAGCCACGTCTACCGAAACCAACCCAAAGCCAGACTCGATTTGACTTTGTTTTGTGTTTGAAGTTTTGATCTAAGAACAGCACTGCAAAGTACGGTTGAAGTACAGGAGTGAAAAGGAAAGCTTTCAGCAAAGCAAAGCTATAGTCATTCCCTAAAGCATCTTCAGCAGACAGCAATTATATCTCTTACGAGCAAAATATTCGACCCAGGCCGATTCGAACCCTCGACCTCCCGCACTGAGCCTTCGCACTAAGTCCAAGCCTAAGCCTAAGCCTAAGCCTAAGCCTCAAGCGCGCTAACCACTCGGCCATTCACTCCCTTGCCGTGTGGGCAAGGGGATTTTGAACTTATACCTAGATAGCCGCGAATTTGCAGACTCTCCTCCGTCGCCTCGCCCCTATTTTCCCTGTCCGATCCTTGTCCACCCGAAGTGATCCTACCATTTGATGAAAATCTCTATGCAAGTGTTGGATCGACTTTTTCCATCTATTGTGCACCAAAGAAAGGTTTGCATTCGGATATAATCTACAGTCGAACTTCGATATAACGAATCGCTCGGGACCAAAAACTTCCATATAACAAACCTAAAACGCGCCTCAAATTTTCTGCGTAGCGGCCCTGGACGGCGACTGATTGCATTTGGCTGGGGCAGCGACGCAGAAATTTTGGGCACGTTTTAGAATTTCAAATTCGTTTTATCGAACTCGTTATGTCGAACTTCGACTGTAAATATAAAAGACAAGTGTCTGTCTGTCTGTCTTTCTGTCTGTATGTCTGTCTTTCTGTCTGTATGTCTGTCTGTCTGCCTGTCTGTCTGTCTGTCTGTCTGTCTGTCTGTCTGCCTGTCTGTCTGTCTGTCTGTCTGTCTGTCTGTCTGTCTGTCTGTCTGTCTGCCTACCTGCCAGTCTATCTGTCTGTCTGTCTGTCTGTCGGAAAATTTGATCGTCTACTTTTTTAAAAGTTAAAAACGCGCTAAACCAGACTCCTTTTGTGCCTCGGCGGTTTACGGGAGACCGTGCCCGAGATGTTAACGTCTAAAACGACCGCTTTAACTAAAGGAATCAAGCTATGCGTTAACCACAAAACACCCAGCTGATGTTTTAGTGTAAAATATAATCAGAAAGTATCAAAAATTTCAGAAACTGATCACCTCGAGTGGACATTTCCAAATGGAAGTGTCGTTGGTGGAGAAGAGAATACGGTAGGAAAACTCTCATTTGAATAACTTTTCATTTCCTAGAATCACGTCGATTTCGAAGGCGTTGACTTTTTCTCTTCAACTCTTTACTCGCCGAACAAACAAAAGCCGATTCGACCCAGGTTCGAACTTTAAAATTTATGTGTTTCTAGACAAAGGTAAAAATTTCTTTTTTTTTGGCAGCCTTTTTTGGTTTTTTGGTTTGGCAGCCTTTTTTGGCAGGTAAAAATGTCTTTTTTTTACTTCAAGATTAGCAGAGATTTGTGTCAAATTTTCAAATAAACTTTACAGCTAAATTCGAATGCTTCATTCATATTTTTAAAAAAAGAAAATATCTGCCAAAAAGTTACAAGTTTCTAGAGAAATTTTGACTGATTACGAGTAGTTCTGATCACTTTAAAATGATCTGACTTTTCTGATGATTGTCTAAAACGAAAGAATTCACTTGAGAACAACAATGATATTGCTTTCTGAAGATTACTGTCTCTTTGAAATCTCTATGACTGAATTTTGTTTTTCTCAGAGTCTCTGTGACGAAAGAGTCCCTTCGTTTGGACGTTGTTCTACCCGTCGATGCTGGTGTTTACGAATGTTCAGTGTTCAGAGGGAAACAGAGAGCGACGAAAAGAGTCAAAATGATCGTTCGAACGCCGAAAATCGAGCTCTTTTTGCATGAAGTGGATGAAAAGTTACCGTAATCTTTTTAATAAAAGCTCATCTTAGATTGGTGCTCATTATGCATCGGTCTCTTGGAATGACTCACTTCGGATCGATGCGGCTGATCGAGTGGCTTTGCATCTGACAGTCACTGATGAAACGGGTGAGTTAGTAAGCTAATCCAGTAATTTACAGTAAGCTAATCCACTTTATGCTTCTGAAATTTTGGTTATACGGTAGCTAGGTCAAAAAATGATCAGTACAGATACCAAATTTCCTCTAATAAACGCCCCCCTCGACTAACTTTAGACGCTTCGTTCTCAGCCTCTTTTTGATATATTTTTATGTTTAATATACCAAAAGATAGCCCTTAATGTCTTCTATCTTTTGGTATATTAAACATAAAAATATCTCAAACAGAGGCTGAGAACGAGGCGTCTAAAGTTGGTCGAGGAGGAGAAGGAAATACGGTAGTATACAATGATTTCAACTACAGTAATCTTCCATAATTTGATCTTTTCCATTGCCAGGTGCCCGTCAACGTGCCGTCCAATTATCTCTCCTTTCCCCGTGGCTTTCCTACAGTATTCTCCGGCTACGTCCCAATCACAATTACACGTTTTGTCTAAAATATTCGCTCGTCGAACGACAACCGACGTTTGGATCGAGCATTTTGAGCAGTGATGTTGAGGTGTGTTTAGAGAAAAAGAACTTGAAACCGAATCCTTTTCCAGGCAGCTTCTCCCCTCCTCGAGTCTTGTCTACTCGTTCGCACTCTTCCCTCATTACCCTTCTGGGAGCAACTCTCCACCTCAACCCTTGTCCTCTTCTTGGCCATCGCCTCGGCTCTTCTCGGTCTTTTCTGTTTTCACACACTCTTTGCTCGACTCCACGTATGGCAGCAAGCAAAACACAGGTAAAGATAGACATTATCGAAGCTGAACCTAAAACGATTCGTAGTTAGTTTTGCTTTTCTCTTGTGCATTACTTTGATTGATGCATTTATATCCAAATTTCTCATGAAATTTCCCCAGGTCTCGTCTCAACCAATCAATCTCCGGCCAATCATTTCTCTCTCACTCATCCTCTGCTCACAGCGCTCACCCGCACACCTACGAAAATGGAGTACCGGTGAGGGGAAAGTTTGGAGTTTTTGTTTTTGTTTTTGACGATGACGACGATGACGATGACGATGACGATGACGATGACGATGATGACGACGATGATGACGATGACGATGGCGACGATGACGAACAGAGAACCTGAAAATTGATAATACTTTGTGAATTTCATTAATTTTCATTAATTTCATTAATCAAAGAAAGAAACCACTAAAACCTAAAGAATTCAGAACTCTTCCTCTTCCCACTGCCATCTTTCCTCATTCCCCTCGAATCGTCTCACCAATCGACCGACAACTCTACGAATAGTACAACAAGATATCGCTTTGTGAATTGGCTAGAGTTGTTTTATTCTGTAAAATCAAAGAAGCTTTTCTATATTGATCTCAAGCTACACAATTTGCTCATCTTTTCAAGTGCAATAAAACATATTTTTGCCAACTTCTTTGAGATACAATTTATGATTGGAAACAGACAGCTTAACTGTTCATAAAAGCCTTTACAATTCAAGAGCAAGCACAAAACAAAAACTAAGTAATGATAAGAAACATGGGAAATCACATCTTTTCACGTATGATTGGACTTTATATGCAATCACTTGCGCTTTTAAGAAAATTTTACCGTTTCTACTTGTGGAAGAGATTTCATTGATTGAGATCAAGTTTCAAAAAAAAATGCTTAAAAGTCGGCCATTCTTTTATCCACTTTTATTCTTTCACAGATTTAGTGGCAGAGCTTCAATTGAACTTCTTTTTCCATAAAAGCTTTTGTCAAATAGGTTTAGTGATGGATGTTAGTTGAGAGATACGAGATTTGCAAAATCAGGACACTCGAAGACAATAAAAGAACAAACGAGATACACAACAGAAAAGCCCAGCATTGAACTCTAGCATTTATGGACAAGCATAAACAAGTACTACAGTCTGTAATCAATACTAAAAAAATTTCAAATCTCGTACACGCTGAGTGTTCAATTTTTGGCAGTCTTTGCAATTTCTTTGCTCATTTTTTCCTTTGAATTTGACTATGCAACATTTATTAGTAAAAATAAAACCAGACTAAAACACAAACATTCACACAAAAAAAAACAAATAAACATTTACCATAAAATCGCACAGATTTCTACACAAAAACGAAGCGATCGATCGATCGATTTAGCCGATTCCATCCATATAGTCGTCCGAGTTTTGTCCACGCGAGCCATTTTGTTTCCTGAATCAGTAAATTAAGAAATACCTTTTGATGGTCTTGTTACTTTTATAAAAGGAAAATCTTACTTGGATTTCGGACGACGATCGGTGAGCACTCTTCTTTCTTCAACGATTCGCATTCCACTCGAGAGTCCGACCTTCTCATAGGGCACTGCTGATCGTGGAGTGACAAGTTCGCGCCTAAAATATTTACATTAACAAACACGATTGTCACTAACGCGTGGAATGCGTGTGGAGTCTTTGAGAGGCCAAGCATTGCCGGTGTCGTTAAAAGCCGATTTGCGGAGCATATTGGCGATGGCACAGATCCACTGCTAGTCTAAATATAAAGTATTTGAATAGGCAGCCGACTTGAAGTAAACCCACTTGAAAGGCGGCTGCAAGATGTCGACGTGTATTTGGACCTTGTTCCTAAACACAAAATGTTATGTCGAAGAAATGAAGCCCACTATAATTGGAGTGCTTGTCACCGTCTCAATAAATGACAATGAGAGGGAGTCGTTCGTTCCAAGGCCCGAATCTGGTGTTTTTCCTAATATAAATTAAATACCACGAAACAATTTGATACCTGGCGCGGCAGACATGTAATCTGGTTGCGGTAAAGGCTGGTGGCGCAAACGTTCCATTTGATTTTTCAGCTGCTCATTCTCTTTGCGCAATCTTTCCACGTGTTTCAGCAACTCTGTCCGCTCTTTGACAAACTGCCTAAAGAAACTTTTATAAGAAAGTGTAAGTTTATTTTTTGTAGCTTACTATTTATCTTTGTAAAAGCTTACTGTTCTCTTCCTTTTTGCTTTTCGAGTTCACAGCGCACCGATTTTGCAAAAGTGACGGCTTTCTGGTTCTTGTCGGAGAAGTGTCGCACGAGACCATTCTTGTGGCGCTGTTGGAACTCGATCACACGTTGCATCTCTGTCATACATTCTTGTGCGACATCCTTCAAAGGTCGGAAGAGGTTCTAAAAGAGACACAACTTTACCAATAAGCCTAACAAACTCGAAATTTCGTTTGAATATTTCGATTGATGTCCATATATTGAACCTGCGTCTTCTTACAGAGCAAACAAGTGGCGGCCTTTGCAAGTTCAGCGCCTGAATGAAAACATGAATAATATACGGACTAAAGTCGCAAACCTTTTGCGCAGCAATTTCTACAGAAGATGTGTCCACAAGAGACGAAGTAGTAATGGTTGCCGCCTCCTGCATCCGGTACTGTGTAGCAGGCGTTGCAATGGAGCCAACGATCAACGGCTGCCGTAGGTTTAGCGCTCCCATCTCCGCTATTCATCGCCAGCTCTCCAGTGTAACTAAAGTAGAAAATGCATCAAACCGCAAACATTGGCTAAAAAAGGGGAAAAGAAGATCAAAATGGTTTGATTCGGTTGGGCTTGGATGCTATTATAGTTGAGGGGAAAACAGGTTTTACAGAACAAGAAATCATGGAACTATGACGATTGCGCCGCAAGCCAAAAACAAAAATTGAGCATACGAAATTTACGCACGCAAATTTTGTATGAAATTTGCGTACGCAAATCTTCAACTCTTTACTCGCCGAATAAACAAAAGCCGTTTCGACCCAGGTTCGAACTTTAAAATTTATGTGTTTCTAGACAAAAGTACGCACGCAAATTTTGTGTTGAAAGACCAGAAGCGAAAATTGTGCCGAGCATATTTTCCGCCGACAAACATTGCGCCGCGCACAAAACGAAAATTGCACCGAAAAAACTAGCGCTAACCCACTGCTAGAAACAACATTTTTTATGTTTCTGCGCTTTTTCTCTTACTTTGGCTCCCCTCCCCCACTTTTTGCACGCATTCCGCCAACAATTTGACAACCCGACACTTATTCTTCATTCTTTTGACTTTGCTGCCTTGTTTTTATCTTGTTTTATTTTATTTCACTATAAATTTGTTATTTTTAGTGTTAACCCTCGGTCAAAAGCGTCTTTTTCGGATGTCCCTTTGCACATTCGATGAGTTGAACGGGCAGGTTGGCGTTTATAGAATTTTTAATTAGAATAACTCAAATGCGTGCTAGTTCAATGATAAAATTTCATTACTGGTCACTTTGCAACCGTCTGTTTTATCTATTAACTTTTTCTAATTTCAGAAGGGAAATCTGTCAACAAGTGAACGTCTCTTCATAGTTTTGGCGAAGAACCAAGTAAGAACGTTTGTTTTTATGCTCTACAGGGTGTTCCAAAAAAAGTAAGTTCAGCGCGATTTTTCTCAGAACTTCTAGTGGCTCCTCCTGGTGGTTGTTGTGGTGCCAAAGTGAATATTTTGGGCGGGCAAATTTTTGACATTTTCACTTTTTCCCGATTTCATGACTTTCTACTTCCTATAAATGAAATTTCTAAGCCACCATGGTTACCACCACCGTATGTGCTACCACCATGAGATTTTTGCCATAAAATTGAAACTTTCTGCTGGCATCGTGGTGTCATATTAGAGTTAACATGTAAACTAAGATTTATAACCAAATACTTTATCCATACTAGAACATCCAGTAATCTCTTGTACATAAAACTCTTTTAAATCGCAATGTTCAAAGAGGCAGCCATGTTCTACTCATGAGCTACTAACCAATAAAGTCTTTGGCTAAAAATCTTAGTTTGTATATTTGTTGTGTCCGATTTAGATTCAATCTAAATCGGACGTCCGATTTAGATTGAACTTATCGCGGACGTCCGATTTAGATTACAGTCTATATCGGACGTCCGATTTAGATTCAATCTAAATCTTATATGGATTGAACAATAATATAAACATGCTTAATATATGTTCTTAAGCGTTTTCTGTAGTTTTCTGCATTTTTCAAAGGTCTTTTATTGATTACAGTCTATATCGGACGTCCGATACAGATCGAACAATAATAAACGTGCTTAACATATGTTCTTTGAAAAGCGCAGAAAATTGCAAAAAAACGCATAAGAACATATATTAAGCACGTTTATTATTGTTCTATCTGTATCGGACGTCCGATATAGACTGTAATCTAAATCGGACGTCCGCGATAGGTTCAATCTAAATCGGACGGAAATCTAAATCGGACACAACATATTAACTTTAATATGATACCACGATGCCAGTAGAAAGTTTCAATTTTATGGCAAAAATCTCATGGTGGTGGCAACCATAGTGGCTCAGAAATTTCATTTATAGGAAGTAGAAAGTCATGAAATCGGGAAAAAGTGATAAAATGTCAAAAATTTGCCCGCCCAAAATATTCACTTTGGCACCACAACAACCACCAGGAGCCACTAGAAGTTCTGAGAAAAATCGCGCTGAACGGACTTTTTTTTGGAACACCCTGTATATGTAATATTTAATTTACAATTGAAGCATTAGGTTGGGGAGTATGAAATGGCAGCGTCTTTGGACGAACTTTTGAAAAAACTAAACCATAACTTTTTCTCAAATTTTTTTCTAATAACAATAAAAGTTTTGTTGAGTATACACCAAAATTTCATTCCGATCTGATGCACAGTTTTTGAGAAATGAGGGAGGATGTCTTAAAAAGTCGATCTTGGGGGGGGGGACAAATGCGACTTTTTCGCCCTGGACATTTGCGCACCTTTTTTTTGCTGGAAAAGGCCTTAGGAAAGGCCGTAGAGCTTCGAAAATATTTCGAAAATTTTTCCATATAAGGGAATCGTATGCGTAGATTCCGAATTTCGACAAATCAGACCTCGCTGACACGTCAAATTTGGGCTAAAAGGCAAAAACTGCGGAAAAGCGTTAAGTTGCGTAGTTTTTGCCTTTTAACCCAAATTTGACGTGTCAGCGAGGTCTGATTTGTCGAAATTCGGAATCTACGCATACGATTCCCTTATATGGAAAAATTTTCGAAATATTTTCGAAGCTCTACGGCCTTTCCTGGCCTTTCCGCAAAAAGGAAGGATGTCCAGGTGCCAAAAAAGGTCGCATTTGTCCCACCCCCGATCTTGGTCTATTTTTCCTTAAAATCCAATCCGCTAAAAATTTGCAACAACTTGCTAGATTCAAAAAACGTTTGAGCCAATATGTTTGTACAAACTTTTTAACCAAAATAAACACAAAATTCAAATTTTCCTTAACCAAAAATTTTCGAATAGGAACTTGTCACCTTTTGAGAATACATGAGATATTTTTGAGAATACTATTCCCAGGACTCAGACACGTCATTTTTTAATCTTCAATTTTTATTATCAGCCTTGATTTATTATCTTATAAAATAGCCGTTTTAACTGAATGCTACGAGTATTTTTGTTACAAACATCGTCACGTAGGTAGTTAAAAATCGATCTTTGGCATATTCATCGCCATTTCTCAAAAACTGCATCAGAGCGGGATGAAATTTTGGCGTATAATCAAAAAAAAATTAAATTGTTATTAGAAAAAGTTATGGTTTAATTTTTTTCACAAGTTCGTCCGAAGACGCCGCCATTTCATACTCCCCAACCCAATACTATTGAATTTAGGTACGACGGAGATTCTCACTAATCGAGACAAAGAATTAGTCGAAGACGATGGAGTTTAAGGATGCCTGAAGTTAAGAATTGATCAACTTGCTTTTTCAATTTTAACCTTAGGGTATCATAAAACAACCATCCACTCAACTAGTGGTCGTCCGGTGTTTCATCATCAAGAGGTGTTTGAAGTTCGCTACAACGATGCACAAAGTTGCTTTCACCATTCCTCAGATGTTCCCTCAAAATCGACAAGCAAGAAAATTTCAAAGAGCGACACTTGGCCGTCACTAACCCTATTCGTCTACCACTTTCTCTTGACTAACTTTTTGGTTTATCCATTTATATATCGTAAATACTGTAATAGTACCCCACCACCCTCGTACAGTCGCGTAGTCGCGAAAGTTTTTTAGTTTATCTCATTTTTTCAAAGCGCCCGTACTTCCAAAAAAATAGCCCTGAATTTCAGCTATTTTTGATACCTAAGCGCGCATTGTCGCATAAGCCAGTGTCAAGAAAAACGCGTTCAAAGCGAGACTACGCAACACGCCGCACCGTCATTATGGGGGTAGGGTACTATTACAGTATTTACGGTAGGTTTCTTACGCTATTACTACTTTTAACGCTGTAAAAAGTTGTTGTTGTGCTCTTTTCACTTACGGTTATACAGGTTTTGTTTGTTAATACAATTTTAAAATCTCATTTTTAAAACGCACCTATAATTTTTAAAGGTCTTACGAAATGCATTTGCTACAAAGAAACACCGACAAACAACCATGTGCTGAGCACTCAAGCAACAATGTTTGCATTTAAAACATTGTGATTGAACTTAAATTCGATTCTGCTTCATCAAAAAACAAGTTTCAATGAAATAACTCAAATCCTTCGGCGTAAATTTCGCAGCTTAAAAAAATTGCGCAAATTTCGTATGCTCAAGTTTCGTTTTTGGCTTACGGCGCAATTTTCGCGGCGTCATGTCATTTCCCGAAATTATGTTTGCAACCAAGTTTTTAGTTCACGCAGGCTTCTAACAAGCCTTAATACTCAACAGTAAAACTTACTTTCTGGGAAAACGAAAAGCGGCAACGATTTCCTTTAATCTTTCTGGACTTTTATCCTACAACCCCTTTCAAGCTGAATATTTTCTAATTCCCCAATGCTTTGCATGAAATGGGGCAGCCGCGAAGACAGTGACAATGTTTTGTGCAGTTAAAAACATACGTAAAGAAGAATTTATTGACAACTAATGCCAAGTTTCAACGCGTTAAACCGAGACACACAGGAAAGTTTCTCCAAATGCATAAATGAGGGAATAAAGACTTTTGATAATGAAGAGAATAAATAAATAAGTTTCATGGTCCGTTACAAATGTACACATATGCGGGTCATTATGGCAAGACGAGCTCTCCACGATAGCTGCCAGCGGGAAGAACGCTCACGTCGATTCCATTGAAGTATGCGTGATGCAAGGCCTTTTTGGATGAGATACGACAAGCCGGATCAAAAACCACCATCATCTAAAAGAACAAATTAGGCTACTCATAGACTATGATTTCCTTGTAATTTATAGTTTGGTTAATGTTACCCTCAACAAATCGACAGCCGCGGCAGACATGTAGTCGCTCAACTTGTCATCCATCATGCCAGTGTTTTTCCATTTTGGGAAGCTCGGCTTGTAGTCTTCTAGGTTTGATACCCCAGCCCAATCCTCTTCCGTAGGTGTTCCCAACAACCTAAAGTTAACCAATATCAAAAGGTATGCAAAAACTCACTTGAAAATGCGAAAGAGCTGATCAATTTCGGAGTCCCCTTGGAATAGAGGCTTTTTAGTAGCCATCTGAATTGTTTGAGATCAACTTATTGTCAGAAGCTAAATTAACCTCCGCGAAAATGCAAGCAATGCTCCACATATCTACACCCATTGAATAACGTTTTGCGCCGAGAAGCACTTCAGGAGCACGATACCAAAGCGTCACAACCTAAAATATTTCTGTTTAAGCTCGTTAAATCGTAAAAACCTCGTGTGTATAAGCTCGAACAGGAATTCCAATTGCGCGTGCCAGACCAAAATCAGCCAACTTGATAGCACCCTTTGCATCAACGAGCAAGTTTTGCGGCTTCAAGTCTCGATGGATAACCCTTCGCTAAAAACATTGTAAAATTGCATTGTTTCAATAACCAACCTGGTGACAGTAACAGATTGCTTGCAAGATTTGGAATAAGTAGCTCTGAGTTGTCACATTGTCGAGTTGTGTATTTGGTGGCAATTGATCCAGGTACTTTTTCAGATCCATCGAAAGAAACTCGAAAATCAAATAGAGCCGATTTTCCTAAAATAAAAATTAGCACAAATCATTACAATTTTACCGACCTGCATGATCACATCGATGAGTGAGACGACATTAGGGTGCTTCAGTTCTTTCAGAAGCGAGATCTCACGGATTGCTGTTGATGGAACCCCTTCGTCTTCAGCCTAAAATATGCTTGCAAAGTAGAAATTCAAACAACAACCTCCAAACGAATCTTCTTCAGTGCTACCATTTGGTTAGTCTTTCTGTTTCGACCTTTGTAGACGACTCCATAAGTTCCCTCTCCGATCTTTTCTAGTTTGACGAAGTCATCAAGCGAAAAGCGTTGTGTCATCTAAAAAACTACAATCAAATAAGTAAGTGACAGGTGGCACACGCTAAAACAGAAGATGTTTATCATGAAGACACAAAGTGCCAAGCAAAGTTTAAGAAAGTTTATTAAACGTTATCTAAAGGAATGAATTCTGGATGCTAAGGAGATTGAGCCCAGGTTCAAAATCAAGACTTTAGCGTGCATAATTTTCCTTACGCCCATCTGATTCATAGATAAATCAACAAGTCCGTACTAGTTATAACTTATGATACCCAAAGATTCAAATTCAAAATCAAATCTTTTGAACAAGCGCCGTGACTTGCCGCTTTGGGACCACTCAAAGCATATAACCACACCAGAAAAAATAACATGAGTAATCAATTCAGCGTTAAGAGCGCTTCATTTGCATTTAGAACTAGATAAATAAATACTTTATTCGGCTAAAAATAAAACAACAAAAAAATACAACCCTAGAGTTAAATGCATTTTTCTTTTTTTTTGCGGTGGTGGTTTACGGTGGCATACGAAGACATCCATCGATTCGAATGATTTCTCCATTAAGATATCTAAAAATCATATGATGATTTCATTTAAATATTAAAACTTACTGATTTTCGATGATATGACAGACAAGAGCACCATATTCTTCCGGATTGCCAAGGCGCGATGGATTTGGGACGAGTTGAGATAAGAACTTCTGCACTTTCTCGGGTAGATTTGAAAGCAGCGGTGTGTTGAAAAGGCCAGGCGCAATCGTCATGAAACGGATTCCATCTTCAGCAAAGTCACGAGCTAACGGGAGCGTCATTGACACAATCGCTCCTTTCGAGGCAGCATAGGCTGACTAAAAATATAATACATTTTTGAAACAAGGCTCGGAACACCTGCCCAATTTGACCATCAAAAGCCGCAATTGAAGCTGTGTTGATGATGACTCCTCGTTGGTTCGATGTGTCCTAAAAACAGTTTAAATCAAGGTTTTCATTACAAGCTTACCTTTTGATTTTCTCCAATTAGCACAACTCCGTGGCGTATTACGTTAAACGAGCCGAGAACGTTGACCTGAATTTATTCGTTATATTACGTTAAGAAAAGAAATACGTCGATAGTTTTCTTGATTTTATCCATGGGTATCAGGCTCTTCTTGTTGATGGAATAAAGTTTGAAGGCCATCGCAACACCAGCACAGTTGACTACAGCGTCACATCTAAATTTGGGGTTTCGATTATCACAAAACTAAAAATTACCTCCCGAATTTGTCCTTAACTTGTGCGAATGCGTTTTGAACTTGCTCCTCATTTGAGATATCCGCCGGCGCGAAGAGAACTTTTGAGCCAAGCTCTTTCGCCACTTCTTCTCCTTTTGATGACGGTAAGTCGACGATCGCAACATTGGCTCCTAAAGTAGTAAAGATTAGAAGTGCAAAACAATCTACACTGTAACATCCGTTATTTGTAAGTATTTTTATTTTACAAATAACGGGTGTTACTTTAGCTAACAAAAAGTTGATTACCCTCGTTGCTTTTGATGTCATTATCTTCTCATATCAACCCATTATCCGTAAAGCCCAAACAACTAGCAAACACAATAAAACAAAACTCACCCCTCTGCACAAGTTTATTTACTGCTCCTCGGCCCAATCCTGAAGCGCCTCCGGTGACAACGGTAGTTATTCCTTTGATCCCACGGAGCACGGACATCTGAAAAAGCACAGATAGAACCAGAAAAATAGCAGATGATAAAAAAAAAGGTCAAACTCAAAAGTGAATTCGGGGAGAAGCTCTGAAAAAAATCGAAAGCCCTTAGCTTGACTTTGCTACCTATTAAACTCTATTTTAAAGTAGCTAGAGGATCAACTAGGATTGAGCCAGTAGGTAAACGCTACAACTAAGCTTTACAAATAATCCCAAACGCGAATTATAAAAGTACGGAAAAGAATGAAATTTGCGTGTCCATCAAGCTCTAAATGTGTTTCAAAAGGTCCACAAAACTTTAGATATTCAGCTATTCACCCAGATTCTTTTACAAATCGCCGTCTGTCGCGACTACAAACGTCATTTGGCATTCTGCCGGCAACTTCTTTATTTCTTTTCTACTGTGCCATTTTTTCTTTCCCCTTTCCTAATTCGCTATTTCTTCAAGCGTAATGCTTTTCAAAAATTATTCTTTTTGAGAATAAAGTGTCGCAAGAACACTTTAATTTGAGGGAAAATGATCCCGATGACGAGAACGCGAAAAAGATGCGTAGAGAATGTTTCTTTCTCATTTTGCATCTAATAATGAATTTTTTTATGATTCAGGGTTAAATGGCAGAAGTGCCACATTTTGTCTTGTACGAACACGCCGTCGGATATGCGCTCTTCAAGGTGAAGGAATTTGAGGACGCTGGGCTCATCGTTCCTGAGGCAAGTTTCCTTTATGAATTAGGTATGAAATTTTTGTTGGATTGTTTTGATGGTTGAAAGCCATTGGAAAGTTGTGAACAAAAATGCTCAATCTAATTACCTGACAAATAAAACCATTTGTTTGTATAGTTAGTGAAATTTTTTCATTAAATGTCTATTCAATTTAAATGTTTGCAGGTTGACGAAGCACTTTCAAATGTCGCGAAGTTCTCCACGATCGTCAACTTGGTTGCCTTCGATCCGTTCAAAAACACCGAAGCGGCTCTGGAAAACTGCAACGCGATTTCGGAAGGAATGGCTCATCATGATCTAGTGCGGTTCTTGGAGGAGAATTTGCCAAAGAAGAAGAAGGTTCTTTTGTGTTTTCGGCTATAAATTTTTGACTTTAGAAGACGATTGTTGGATTGAACGACGGAAAACTTGCCAGTGCTCTCGTTGAAGCGATTCCCGATCTGAAGCCAACGTTTGGAGGTGTTATCACCGAAATTCTCCGCGGCATTCGAGTGCACTTCGAAGCTTTGGCTAAGAATCTGCCTCATCACTCGCTCTCCAAGGCACAGCTATCACTTGGACATTCTTATTCGCGCGGCAAGGTAACGTTGTTGATTTTACACTTAAATGCCGCTTCTTTTCATTTAAAATTAGATGATTGATAAACCACGTTTGATAGCACATTTAAAAATCTCAATTGTGTTTCTTTAGGTCAAATTTGATGTACATCGCGTCGACAACATGGTGATTCAATCGATTGCACTTCTTGATCAGCTTGACAAGGACATCAACTTGTTTGGAATGCGCATCCGTGAATGGTATTCTTACCATTACCCCGAGCTCTACAAGATTGTTGGTGATCAATACAAATATGTGAAATGCGCAGTTGCAATTCTTGACCGAAACAAGTCGTCCGAGGACCCGGAGCTTGCAGCAAAGTTGATGGGTTGGTTTTAGGGCTTTTCTTATTGCTTGTTATAAACTTTATCAGGTTAATTTTCATCTTCTAGAAATTGTCGAAGACGAAGACAAAGTGAATGAAATTATTGAAGCCTCAAGAACGAGCATGGGTATGGACATCTCTGAGCTCGATTTGATGAACATTGAAAAGTATGCTTTGTTTTTTCTTTTGTTAGTTTAACATTTTTTCTAGATTTGCTTCACGAGTGGCATCTTTAACTGAGTACCGTCAGCGACTTCACGGGTATATCAAGGACCGGATGAACAGCTGCGCTCCATCACTTTCTGCTCTTATTGGAGAGCAGGTTTAAAGAATACATAGAAAATTGCTTTATAATACTGTTTTAGGTTGGTGCTCGATTGATCTCTCACGCTGGATCACTTACTAAGTAAATACTGACGTTTATTATTGCTATAATCAAGTTTTTTAGTTTGGCGAAATATCCGGCTTCCACTGTACAAATTCTTGGTGCTGAGAAGGCGTTGTTCCGTGCCCTCAAGACACGAAGTAAGTTTTTGTTTCATTGTTTCATTGTTTCATTTTAGCCAATACTCCAAAGTACGGTCTACTTTTCCACTCTGCTTTCATCGGCCGCGCATCTGCAAAGAATAAAGGACGTATTTCCCGCTTCTTGGCCAACAAATGTACAATTGCTTCCCGAATAGATTGTTTCTCTGATGTGGGTGTAATTTCATGTATACAATCAAGAATAATTTAGGTACCAGTGTCTACTTTCGGTGAACATTTGAAGGCTCAAGTTGAAGAGCGTTTGCGCTACTTCGACACAGGTTTGGCAAAAATGTCTTTTGTTGTATTATTAAGTTTTTAGGAGAAGTGCCAACCAAAAATGTTGAAGCAATGAAAGCAGCTGAAGGTGAGGCTGTTGAAGCACGTGAGAAGGTTCTGAAGAAGAGAAAGAAGGCCGCCAAGAAAGCAAAAAAGAGTGTTGGAGAAGTGGAGGCAATGGTAGCTTTTATCAAAATTTTCTTGTAGTTTTTGCATTTAGGAAGCTGATGAAGAGCCACCAAAGAAGAAGGGAAAGAAGATTGAGGAAGAATTAGTTAGTTTTCACTCAATTGTGTGTTTAACCCAAATTTTAGGCCGAAGTTGCGGTCGAAGCATCGGGCAAGAAAAAGAAGTCCAAGAAAGGCAAAGCTGAGGCAATGGATGAGGACTAATTTATAGTTGACTTGATTGTTGCATTCGTTGTTATGATTAAGATTTGTTATTGTTACACCTTGTTACTTTTTGTTATGTTAAAACTTTTTTAGTATAAATGTTAATTCAATAAAAACTGAGCACATAAAATGAAGAAAATCTGCAACAAACGAAAGCCTGAAAAAATTTGTTTCACGCTTGAGAAGTTTTTGCAGATCTCGATCCTGTCACAGGTTGATGGTAGAACGTCAGTACTAGTGGCAATTTCTGGCTACCCGCTGCCTGGGTATCTTGTCTTCTTTTGGCCTCTCTTTTTCTAAGCGATTATTTACATAAGCTTTGCGCACAGAGCTCCGTGTGTGCCACGCATCTATCGCTAAGAGGAGAGAGAGGGACAGATTGGGGAAGAAGAGGGGGCTGCTCTGAACTTTTGGCTGACACATATGCCCCATCTCATCCGCTCGTCGCTTTTGTAGGGTTTGCCTCCTCCTGTCTTTGAGATCAAGTTTTATTGACTGGTTTTGGAGGGGTTTTTGTTTGATTTGTTAGACACACCGGTGTCAATTGTTAAGTCGTTATTGTTAGAAATGCTACACTAAAATAAACCAAACTTACATTTCCACTTTGATTTTATTTGTGCTTTAAGGCCTAAAAATCTTTTAACCTTTTTTTACCGAAGTCTTCAATGCTTTTGTGTTGATGAAAGGGAGAGCAAAGTATCGTATTTCTTTTTTTCCCTCGTCTCTTTTCGATCCAAAGTCACACTTTTCGACAGTCCATCACTCTCTCCTTTGATGGGAAAAATTCGCTAAAGAAAACGCTAACACTTTTTTTGACGTCTGATATGATTCTTCGTTAGCTTGAGTATTTTTTAAATAATAGAATAATTCATGCAGTATTTTTGTAATTATCTTATCTAGATAAAGTACTTTTAAAGCTTGCACTTAGTTCAGTTTCAGCTACCACTTTGAAATTTTGTAAGTATCGTACATAGCTATCGTAAAGTACACAAATAACTTTGAAAGTATCGTACATAGCTATCTTTGCGGTTTTCTTAAGTGGTTTCTTTGAAGCTTCAACAATTGGAAATCGTTTACCTTAATCGATAACAGAAATTTAGTATTCATTGTCTTTTTTTAACACTCAAACATATCGAGTTTCAAATTACCTAATTTCTAATTATTCTAATTAATTAACGTCTAACAATTGTGCCCATTGTTTATGTGTGTTCGATGAGCGTTTCCATGGAAGAGCGGTGAAGCCTTGTCTTTGGGAAAAAAAGAAGAGAAAGGTGACCAATTGAGCGCCGTTTCTTTGCACCTGTCTTCTTTTTGACGCATTATTATCCATCTATGTTCATTGTCAACGTTTTTATATAAAAAAAATTGAATACTTTCCCTTTTGTATCACCAAGTTGACACTTAGGGCTTATGGCTTCTCATTTCTGCTTTATCCTCAAATGTTAATGATCATTTGAACGAATTAAATGGAAATGAGAAAGGAAGTTAATGAATGTGTTAATTGGGAAGTTGTTAATGCTTCGTTATTATAGTTCGATCAGTTCCAACTTTGCAGTTTTGTAATTAAAATTTGCTTTCTCAAAGTTGAAACTGTCAAGAAGCTGTCAGTTTTTTTAAAAATTTTGAGTCTTTTTCGGATATTTTCCTGTTATACCGCGCAAAATTTGTATTTTAAAAGCATCAAAACTGATTCCCGTTTAATCAAAACTGATTAAAAGCATCAAATTCCCGTGTTTGATTGGACTTTTGGAGATATGCGAATTTTAATAATGCTAATTTTAATAATGCTAATTTTAATAATGCTATTTTAATAATGCTATTTTAATAATGCTATTTTAATAATGCTATTTTAACTTAATAATACTATTTTAATAATGCTAATTTGTGATTAGAGAACTCTCAATAATCAACGATTCTTTAAATGACTGATTTGAACATTTTAAAGATTAATTAAATGAATGAAAATGAAGATCTTGGGGATGACCTCGTCACATAAAATCTTAATTTGCCTCATTTTTGCCTATGACGACTGTTTTAGAGATGTTATCTCATCAAATCGAGTGCCTTCTATTCTTCTATTTGGGACAAATCAGACAAAAATCAGGCTGTACATGGCTGAAGGGCATTCCCTTTTACCCCCATCCATTCCCCTTTCAAATCAGCCCATCCGATCACTCATAAAATGAGAAATACCTTCTCGGCCCTCATCTTTTTTTTTGGCTAAAATTCTGACCTTTGTCTTTTGCATGAAGATTTGCTTGTTTTTGAGAGTTTTATTTTCTTTATTAATTGGGAGTCTTATATTCTTTTTTATTTCTGGCCTTAGAAATGAAAAATGGCATTTCTGGTCTACATCTACGAAATTGTTAACTCAAACGATTAAAACTCAATTGTTAACAACATCAAATTGTTAACTAAAAATGATGATTGAAGTTTTTCTAATAGCTTACAGTTGAAGCTTACAGTTAGCTCTATCTCTTGTTTCTAGCTTGTTTTCCGTGACAGTCACTGTTAACAAGATGTTTCAGGATCAAAAACTAAGACCCTCCCAGGTCAAGTATCGATTTTAATCTAATATTTGAATTTTACACTTAAAGCAGTTTAAATTTACAATTTGTAACATTTAAATGATTAAAATTTGAAAAAATTTCAATTTAACCAATCAAAACCTTTGAATATTTGAAAGAATCGTTGAAAACTTGAATGGAACGGTGATCTGAAGACTAAAACAGTCTTCAGATCAGTTAAAACAACCACGATCTATTTCAGGACTACTAGATTTGACTACGAGTACTTGTTAAGAGACTGATATTAGTGATAATGACGGACACAGTCAAAGTCCTGAAATAAATCGTGGTTAAAACAGTCTGAAGACTAAAAAAGTCTGCTAGATTGTTTTAGCCACGATCTATTTCAGGACTTTGACTGTGTCCGTCATTATCGTTAATATCAGTCTCTTGACAAGTACTCGTAGTCAAATCTAGTAGTCAAAAGTGTCAATCAGTTACCCAATCATTCACTCATCTCTGATTCGAGCGAGAATGCTGTGTTAATGTCTCCCCTTCCCTCTTTGCCCCAAGGATTGTCCCTTCTCTTTCCCCATTCCTTTTCCCTTTTCCCTTTTCTCTACCAAATCTCATCTCGCGTGTATTACAGTTTGTGCAAACACTTTCCTCATATTTGGGAGACACATTTGCATACTATTTGCCGACATTCTCTTCTCTTTTTCCTTTTCTATCGACGACCCCCATATGATCCGTTCACAGGATTTTTCGCTCTTTTTGTCTCAGCTTTTCTTGTCTCTCAAGTTCTCAAAGTTTGCAAAATGATTTCATTTTTTTGTTTTAAATCAATTTCATCAATTTGTTCAATTCTCAACCCTAACCTTTAATGACATTCCAAAAAAAGCCTAACCTTTTTTTTGAGGAAATTCGAGAGTTCAAACAGATGCTTGTAGCTCGTAGCTCGTAAGCTCGTAAGCTCAGAAGCTCGTAAGCTCGTAGCTCGTAAGCTCGTAGCTCGTAAGCTCAGAAGCTCGTAGATCAATTCTTGAATTCATTCAAATCAATTCAAATCAATTAATTTCAATTTTTTTTAATCTAACAACTCCAACATCAATCAAGAGCAATATTTTAATATTTTGATGTCATTTTGCAATCCTCTAGCTTCAGAAATCCGAATCCTAATGCCAATAATCGCGGGTCTATTTGAGCAGTGGTTGCCTTTTGCCTTTCCATTCCACTCTTCTCTTTCATTTCATGGATTTGAGTGTGTCCCCTCTTCTCTATCGATGAATGATCGATAAGACGATCGGATCGTTTGAGAGAAAGAAATGAAAGAATATGAATCACTCCATTCATCGTCATTCTTCACTCGATGAATACGAACGAGTTAGTAAGCGTACCCTTCACCACTTCTATTCGGCACAAATCTTCTCTCACTGAACTTTTTCTTTTTCAATTTCTTTGTTTACCCCATTTCTCTCAAACAAAATTTTATGCTAAATCTTGCCGGTTTTTTTTTGAAATTTTACCATAAATAATCAGTCTAAAATACTAGGCACTTTTTTTCAGTACTAGGGATTACTAGGAACTATTTACTAGAGTACTAGGGAATACTAGAGACTATCGAGCTTCAGCGATCGAGCGATTTAACCTATTTTGTGACAAATTTTTCGATTCCGAATATCTAGATCATGTGCAATCGATTCAAATTTCCCCATTTAAATCCATTTGAAGTTTGTGAGCGAAAAAAGCTCACTTTTTAAGTGTTGCGCTAGTTGTCTGACCGCGCGAGTATCAAACGATCTTGCATTCTTCGAAGTTGTGTCATTGTGACCAAGTGATAAGTGCGCTAGGGCTTTCAACTTTTAGGTGCCGGTTTAAATAGATGTCTGAAAGGAGGGTTGACAGCATTTTCGGTTCTATTCTTAAATTCAATGACTAATCTGATAATTCAATGACTGATCATGGCACAGTCAATTCCATAATGCTTTCATTTTCTTCTGCGCCCGCTAACACTGCGGAGTTGTGGTCGAAGCAGTATTAAGCTTGTGCCTGACAGTACTCAAGCAAATGTAGAGTCAGCTAAAGCCCTAGCTAAAGCCCTAGCTAAAGCCCTAGCTAAAGCCCTAGCTAAAGCCCTAGCTAAAGCCCTAGCTAAAGCCCTAGCTAAAGCCCTAGCTAAAGCCCTAGCTAAAGCCCTAGCTAAAGCCCTAGCTAAAGCCCTAGCTAAAGCCTACTCCAATGCTAAGAAAGTGTCATCTATTCTGTAGAAATCATCCAGAGAATCGCGGTCCATTGAACGATTTTCCATTGTTCCAGGTTCCAGGATTCAAAAAAAACGGGAAACGGCTACTATAATTTGTAAAGACCCAGTTATCAGTTGCCCATTCATTGCTTCATCGATACACATTTTCTGATAGAAATTCCCTTTAAACATTGCTCATTTTGTATACATTTCCCTCCGCATTTCCCCCCTACTTTGCTCACTTTTTG